GGGTAAATCAAAATAAATATTTAGATATATATGTTTTTGATAGATATATAGATTAACAAATCATATTTTTAATTTTTAATTTTTGATAGATATATATGTTTTTAATTTTTTGAAAATCAATTATTTAATATTTATCTTTATTTATAGGCCACGAAATTAATCTTTATAAATTATTTATCAATTTTTTACATGTTTATTTATCTATAAGTCATGAAATTATTTTTTAAAAATAATTTTTAAAATTTTTATCTTTATCTATAAGTCATGAAATAAATTTTCATAAATTATTTATGAATTTTTATATGTTTATCTATAATGAAATTAATTAAAGTACGAAATGAAGGGGGAAAAAAAGAGAGACTAGTTTTGTTTTTTTTTAAAAAAAAAGAAATCAATTATTTAATCTTTATCTTTATTTGTAGGTCATGAAATTAATTTTTATAAGTTATTTATCAACTTTTATTTGTTTATTTATGAGAAGAAATTTTAAATTATCTATAAGTTATGAAATTAATTTTTTTTAAATTAATTGTTTATTTTTTTATCTTTATCTGTAGATTATAAAATTAATTTTTAATTTTTATATGTTTATCTATATGGAGGAATTTTGAAATTCAAATCTTCATCCATAAGTAATGAAATTAATTTTAATTTTAATTAGTCAAACAAATAAAAAATGAAGAAAAATAGAAAACATGAAAGGCAATCAAAGAAGGTTGCCACGTAGGAAAGAGAGTATTTTAAAATTATGAGAATTTAAGAATAAATATTTGGAGACTTTTGACAAAATAACTATATTTGGTTATATATATAGTATAGATAGATGATAGAGCCTAATAAATACTTTAAAAATTTTTAAAAAAAATAGTGTGAGAAGCTTCAAGTACAGCGTGAATGTCATTGCTCAATAATAAAAATGTCTACATTAGAATAATGACAAACAAGCAATTGAAATAACTTTGTTAGAAAAATAATATAAGAGTTAGGTACAAAAAATTTTTGCCTAGTTTTGTTTTTCTGAAAACAGTTTTCAAAAAATCCTATTTTCTTATTTTTTGTATTTTTTTTTTATTTTTACTAATTTTTTTTAATATTTTAAACAATTTTTTTAAAAAAATTTTAGACACACTTAACATAAATACACATAAAAAGTATAATTTTTGTAAAAAAATCTTTTAAAAATTTAATAAATACCAAAAATATAAAAAATACTAAAATTTAGTATATTTTTCTTATTTTTATGTATTTGTTAATTTTTTAAAATATTTTTTCCCAAATTTTTTACTTTTTAGATATATCTAAGTAAGGTACAGCTAAAAAAATAAAAAAAAAATACTCAAAATTTTAAAAACATTCACTAAAAACAAAAAAACATGAAAAATAAAAAACTTAATTTTGCAAAAAACTCAAACCAAATACATTGAATAATTTTCAGCAGATCCTATGGATTGGAATTATTTACTCAGAAGTCCTAAGTGAATTTTTTTGGGGAAATAACCATTAAATTACAATTTAATGATAAAGTTTATAAATATTAATAATTAAAATTTAATTTTTTTTTATGAATTTGTAATAATTTTACGAAACCACCTAATTTTTCCATTTTTTTTTACATATTTACTCTTCATTTTCATAATGAATTTTTTTTTGAGATTTTTTAGATGCTTGTTTTGTGTCTGTGAAATGATTATTTAATAATGGTAATGATATTTAGAAATTTATCAAAATGATCCTGTTTGGTAATCATTTTGTTTTTAGTTTATATTTATAAAATTTTTAAAAATTGTCATAAAAACTTGTTTGATAATTTTTTTGGTTTATAAATGGTTGTCTCAATTTATAAATTTAAGGAAAAAACATAAACTCAAAAAATAAGTTTACGTTGGTTTTTAAACTGAAATTTAAAAATTTGACTAACAAATTTTTTTTTCATTTTTTTTTCAAATATTTTTTTTCCAATTAATTTTTTTTTTCAATTTTTTTTATTTAAATTTTTTTTTTCAATTGTAATGTGTATCCCATTGTCATAAATAATAAAAAATAAATATAAATATTTTAAGTCTGAACAAATATATTTTTTAGTTTATGTTTTTAAAAAATTTCAAATAATTTGTTCAAACTAAACGCGTTTGTAATTTGTGTTTTTCTAAAAATAAACAAAAACTAGTTTATAAAATTTTTGTAAAAATAAACTAAAAACGTAAATGTTACCCAACGCTACCTAAATGATTGGTACGTTTTAGGTTTTTGTTTGTGAATTTTAATTTGTTTGTGTTAGTTGTATTGAACTTTGATGTGGGAAGTATCAGTAGTTGAATGGGAAAATTAGTCTAGGATCCCTCTCCCACTTTTCGTAATGGAAGAGATCCACAAAATTATTTTTTGATGTCTAAGGTTCCTAAACATATATCAGAGAAATTTGACTCTTTGCCCATGATTCCTCTCTCTCTCTCTCTCTTTCTCTCTCTCCTACAACCAAATGAACAAAAGCTTCAAGATCTTCGTCTACCCTATCCCCAAATCCCACCCCTTTTCCAACGTCCTCCTCCCAGTCTCCAGCGATCCAGGCAGCAACTACGCCAGCGATTCCTTCTTCAAAAAGTCCCTCGGCAAGTCCCACTTCCTCACCACCAATCCCTCCGACACCGAATTTTGGTCATTTAATCAGAACTCACCGAGACCTAAATAGTGGACACGCAACTAACTATAGAAAGTCGAGCCAATTCTATAAACAATTATAACAGAGGTTAATGAATTCATTTATTGTTCTTGATTTGTTTGCTTGTTCTCTTGATCAAGTTGGAGTAGCTGGAGTAGCTGAGCTAAGTGCCGCGATCGAGAGCTCAGGTGGATTCATGATGTTAGGGGAATCATTTGAATCAGAGCAATTCAAAAAATGCTTGCGCCACTTATTTAATTGTGATGAAGAAGGGAACTTGAAGATGTGTTTTGATGTGACTATTGAGATAGTGACGACAAAAGACGTGAAAATCTGTGGAGCCCTTGGTCCCTGTGTTTCACTTCAGAAAAAGATCAGTTCGGTGAGTGAGAAAGAGATCGGTGAGGGTGGAACCAATATTTGGAAGTTAGGTACACTCACCAACAGAATATGCATTGTTTTCTTCTTCCAAGTAAGCGATGAACAGAAAGTACAACCCAGCTCTGCATTCTTCATAAAGTTCACTACACGTTACCAACACGGAAATATGGGGATTCGGAAAAGGGTGACGACAGCTGCGAGGAGATGGATCGGGAACAACTCACCGGAAATCACCACTGGGTTCGATCAAGAAGCAGCGGCTTCAGTCGTGGCTAGACTTGCCATCTACAAAGCAGAGAGGGACCTTGCTCACAATGTAATCAGATGGCTTGATAAGATGCTGATAAGTTTTGCTTCTAAGTTTGGAGATTATGTGCTGGAAGATCCATCTACATTCCGTCTATCATCCAATTTCTCGTTATACCCACAATTTATGTATTACTTATGGAGATCACAGTTCATTGATGTCTTTGATAGCAGTCCTGACGAGACAGCTTTTTTCCGGTTGATGTTAAACCGTGAAGGGGTGGTTGGTTCTCTCATCATGATTTTTTCTGGGTTTGAGTGAATTTCTCTGGGGTGGAGAGGGAATTTCTCTGGTTTTGAAAAATTTCTATGGTTTGAAATTTCTCTGGGTTGAAATTTCTTTGGACCAGAATTTCTCTGGACCAGAATTTCCCTGGATCAAATTAAGGGACCTTAGACATTATGAAAATATTAGATGTCCTTTATACTATAAAATCTTAATACCAAGGACCCTAAAAAAAAACCCCTCGTTGAATTGTACATTTTAAAATTATTTTTATAATGATAAATTTATCATTGAAAATTGAAATAGAATTTATTGATAAATAAATCTGATCTATAAGTGTCTCAAAATAAAAGCACATCAATATTTTTTTTAAAATCATATGTAATTTTTTTTTTCAAAAGTTTATTGGGGAGCACAATCAAAAGGAGAACAATTATTGATTAAAGTTGCTTAATTGAGACTTCTATGAGAGAGAAAAACACAAGAGTAAGTTGTATCAGACCACTAGTTACTTGATCTCCAAGTTCTTGGACTTGGACTAGTATAGTTTAGAGAATCCCAGTTTCATGTTCAATTCAATATGTTAATTAATATTAACAGCATCATTTTCTAAGTTGACCCTAATTACGATACTGAGAAATTTTGTAAGTTGACCTACTTATTTTATTATTATTTTTTTTTAGAACATGAAAAACATATATATTAAAAATAACAACATACAAAGGGCTATACAACAAAAGGAAAAAAACAAACAACAAAAAAATATTAAATTTGTCAAAAAAAATAACTACGAGCTAGGGAAGACCATTGATCTTCTCAAAGATGTGGTTTAGAAAACAAGATCTGCTTGAAGCCCACCATTTCCATCGATATCGTCCCCATCACTGCTGCTCAACTCCGCCGGCGACATACTTCGGACACCGTCAGAAGCCATTGTCCTTAGTCTTTTACCTTTGTTAATGAAGTTAAAAAACAATAAAATAAGTTAAACTTTAGTAAAACTATAGAGAAGACAAGTCCATAAGACACAAATAATATTTTATCTCATAGAGGGCGATCGTCTGTGCTTGTCACCCCTTAGCTTATCACGGCTCTAAAATATTTAGTTCAAACACATAGGTCCATATTCAATTTCTTGGGCTTCTAATTTATTTGGATTAGTGTGGTGCTAAGGCGATCAGTTCAAACAAATACCATAGTCAAATTTTTGAACCATCTCATTCATTAATTTAGAAATTATAAGATAACCCATTCAACACTAATCATATACAATGATTACGTAACACCCAATTTCTAAGCAAATGCACCATATATAAAATAGACATTAATTATACAAACAAGTTAAAGCTTTAACAATCTAGTATATAAAAATAAATAATAAAAATACCTGCCTATATATACAAGGACCAACATAGCAAAATTGAGCACAGCCAAACTCAAAACAACAAAAACAATGTCTCAAAACAACACAAACAACCCAAAATCTTCAGATTCATATCCTCCTCATGGCCAGTGGACCACTGGTTTCAATGATTACTGTGATGATCCCTCAATTTGTAATTTCTCCCTCCAAAAAAACCCACTTTTGTCATTTTCGTCTGCTTTAATTATTGATCGGTTTGGTAATATTTTCATTTTCAAAGATTTTGAAAACTGGAAACAAAAATATTTGTTTTAGAAGTGTTTACATTTTCAAAAAAATGACAACAATTGTCAAAATTTTAGTGCTGGTTGCTTTTGGTTAAAAATATATTTACTTATTTATCCAAAGATGGTACTATTACTATTTGTTTTCAAAATAAACTTTCATTTCCTCCTCCTCCTCCGCCCACCCCTCTAACCAACGGGAAATTATTCAATACTCCCGGAATACTACGTGTCCATACTCCAAATCAATCACCAATTAATTAGCCTCATGTTGTTTTCCCATTCCCAACATAAATCGTAGGCCCTTGTGTTTCTTCATCAATCAAAAGCTTATGGAGCACCACGTGTCCGTACTCCGGGAGTACTAAATAATCATCCCTAACCAACCACCATCTCTTGTCATTAGTTACTCCCTGATTTCGATAACTCATTAAATATTTTTTTTTTTGTTATTTTTTTATATTTTTTGAAAACGTACTAACATGCTTTTGTTTTTGTTTTATAAAACATGTTTTCTATTTTTGGTAATCAGAAGGCAAAAAATTGGAACCTTCAACTTTTCTTTTTATTTATTTATTATTTTAGTTTGTTATAGTTTAATGAGTTGAAATCTTTGATGTGTGTTGAAGGTTTCATGGTTTGTTGCTTGCCATGCATCCCCATGGGGCAGGTTGCTGAGATAGTTGACAAAGGTTCTACATGTAAGCAAAACTAAACTAAACTAATTAATTGCTTTGCTTAATGTTTTTTTCTACATGACTTGGTTCTACATTCAAGTTATTTATTTTTCTTTTCTTTTCTTTTTATTTTTATTTTTATTTTTTTATGGAATTATTGTCATGACATTAGCCTTTTCATTGCTAAATGTTTTGTTGTAACTTGAATGTGCAGCTTGTTTTGCTGCGGGACTCATCTTCTGCATTCTAAACCCTAAATGCTGTGGAAAATTGTATGCATATTCATACCGATCCAAATTGCGAGCTCTTTTTTCATTGCCAGAGGCTCCACATTCTGATTTCTTGGCTCATTGTTGTTGCTGTCTTTGTGCTCACACTCAAGAGTACAGAGAACTCAAGAATCGTGGCATCGATCCCTCCCTTGGTCAGCATGCCTCTTACTCACACTCCCACAGTTATTATTATGTTTCAAGATTCTTATATTTTAAGATTTCTACCACATCTATTAGGAACGCGTTAGAGATTGAAAAACAAACTATGTTGTAGTTAGATTTTCTATGTAAGGTGAAAAATTTTCAAACAAAAAAGAAACAAAGAAATTAAAAACTAATTTAGTGAAAATAAAAAAAATAAAAAAATAAAAACACTCATTTTCATATGTTTTATTTTTTGGAGGAAATGGTTTTTTAAAATTTTGAAAATATTTATTTGGTGTTTATTTTTGTCAAATTGATTTCTATTTTTTAAAATAATTTCAGAAAATAGATAATAAAAATGAAACCAAATAATTTTAAAAAATGAGCAAAAATGATCCCTGACTAATTTGTAGGGGGCCCAAAAAATATTGAGTGCGCCTTCTCCCATTGATAAGACTCCCTCTATGTCTCCAAATATCAGTTCAGTTGGAAAAAATATTGAGTGTTCGTAAAGCGTCTTCTCCCATTGTTTTACTTTAAAAATATTAAATTTTCAAAAATTATCCTTTGAGAAACGTCAATTCTCATAATTATACTTTTTATTTAATTAATAAATTTAAAATAAGTGCAAACGAAATTCATATTATGTTAGTCTTTAAGTTTTTTTAAAAATCTAATATTTTAAGACAATAAAAAACAAAATAAATGACTACTATTTTGAAACTGAGAGAGCAAGTTATTCGGTATTTGTATCCACCCAATAAAAGCTACACATGACCATATTTTAGAAAAAAATATGGACAAAACAACCTATAAATCATTAAACTGACAGAGTCGCATTGACATTCTTTACACATGATAATTTTTGTCTCACAAGGCCCTATTTGGTAGTCTTTTTTAAAATTAAAAATTGATAATTAGAAAGTAAAAATTAAAAGTATCTCTTGTCTAATTTTCAAATAATTAGTTTTTTTTTCCACCTTATTCAAACTATTTTTGTTTAATAAGTTATAAGCAGAAACTATACCAAGCAATCTAACACAGACTCCAAAATTAAAATAAATATAATCACCTCTTAAAAATTGTAACAAACAGTCCCAGTAATATTAATAGTTGGAATACGAAGTTAAATTAATCTAAAATTTGAGACTGTGTGATCATAGATCCCAAAAATTATTTATGATGTGCTTGGTTGGGGGATTTGGAAAGAAAAATGGAAAAGATAGGTGAAATATGAATAAAACATGCCTATATTTCACCTAATTTCACACACATTTTCTCTTTCTCTTTCCAAATCCCTCCTCAAATCCCCCAACCAAACACAACGTTAGCGTACAAGTCTCACATAATGGATAGTGAGAATTGATCATTCTAATAGAAAACTGCTATATAGGACTTGTTTTAAAATATCTATGACCACATATTATTTGTTTTTTAAATTATTTTTAAACCAAACAAAAAAACAATTATGTTTGATGATTTGGTGAATAATTCAGGTTGGAAAGGCAACGTAGAGAAGTGGAAAAGTGAAGGAGTTGCTATGCCGCCAATTGTTGCACCTTCCATGACCCGTTAAGCCTGCCTCTCTCTCTCTGCTTGGAAAAGCCGATCGTGCTTTGATTTATAGTTTGTTCTGTGTTATGGGTTTGTAATGTCACTATAATTCCAATATTAATCTTCCCAGCAATAAATAAATAATTTCACTAGCTTGAGATCATCTTCTCCTTCTAGTCGCCTAACACAGGCCACTCTATCCAAATCTTCATTCACGTTTATTTCTTGAATAAGTTATTCAATGTATTCCAACTCTATCATTTATCATATGGTACAAATAGTACTTTTTAAGTGCATAAAATTCGATTATATGTGATCAAATTCTATATATATGTGGTAAAAATAGGGTCTTATTATGTGACCCGGCCAAGCTCGTTTATTGGCCCCGTTTGGTGTACCTGTTAAAACAGCTTATAGATTATAGCTTAACAGATTATAAATTATGACTTTAATCAAAAGTTGTTAATCTATTTGGTATATCTGTTAGATTATAGATTTAAGTTGCTGAGTAGTGTTTGTTAAATAAGCTGTGAAATAACTTTTTCAATTAATTTTTATTTTTTATTTGTCGACATTTCTCATAAAAAATAATAATAATAATCTATAATCCTTTTGAATTTTTTTTCTATTTTTAAAAAATACAAAAATCTAAGAGTGTAACCATAAATTAACATGTCCACAACAGAAACTGATAATCAGAAGTAAGGGGTGAACAGCTTCTCAGAATCTGCTTTTTTGAGTTAAAATAATTTGTTAGAATCAGAAACTGTTTGAAACAAATTTAACCAAACAGTCTAAAATAACTTTTTCAAAGTTAAAAACCATAAGTTAATTTTGAAAAGCTGAAACAAACAGCGATTGCATGTCTATTACTATTAGGGTTGGTTTGGGATGTTCTAAAAAAGTGCACTTTTTGACTTATTGGCTTATATGAGTTGAGTTTGGGTTGGGTTTGATGTGATGTGTTAAAGAGGTGATGTGATTTAAATAAGATGATGTGACTTAAATAGGATAGTAACTTTTTGACTTTTTGTATTATTTAGGTCATGCCAAACTTGGCCCTTTTGAATTTTTTTCTATTTTTAAAAAATACAAAAATCTAAGAGTAACCATAAATTAACATGTCCACAACAGAAACTGATAATCAGAAGTAAAAGGTGAGCAGCTTCTCAGAATCTGTTTTTTTGAGTTAAAATAATCTGTTAGAATCAGAAACTGTTTGAAACAAATTTAATCAAACAGTCTAAAATAACTTTTTCAAAGGTAAAAGTCATAAGTTAATTTTGAAAAACTGAAACAAACAGCTATTGCATGTCTATTACTATTAGTATTAATATCATCTTTTATGGGTTGGAGTAGAGTGGGCATTGAAGTGGCCCGGGCCGAGCTGTGGGACGGGTGGGCCACACTGGATAATATCATACTTTTTTTGTCTGCAGACCATTTGATGACCTTTACATATTACAAAAAAACAAAAACAAAAAAAACTAGTATTTAACAATTTTCCCTTTTTTCATTGTAAAACATCCTTCAAATAAGTTTGGGAAAATGCTAGATTAAGGATGAGATATACCAAAAAAAAAAGGTGGTAAGGAAGTGTTAAAAATTCAAGCAAATCCTTGAAATAAGATCAAGTCATATGTGTGGATCATGAATTTGTTGAGAAATTTGTGAAAGATAAAGAAAAAAGAAAAAGAAAGAAAGAAAGAAAATTTAAAAACCAAACATAAGAATATGAAAATGAAATAGGAAAAGAAGCAGTCCAAAGTCAAGTTGGAGTTAATTGGTGGGTAAGAAAACCGGACCCTTCAAATATGGCCAATATCTTATGCCGTCTAAATCTTTGTCCATAGGGGCAATATATTTTCAATAATATGATATGATAAGAATATATAAACTTATCTAATTTAATTGACCAAGACCTTTAATAGATCTAAATAGTGAAAAAAAAAAAAATCATGTAATCAAACTCACTAATAATTTGACAAGAACTGAGAAATTTAGAAATAGAAAATCCATGGTTCCAACTATTGACACATGTTTCATGATTTTTAAGTCGAACTTAATAGTCAAAATAATCTTCTATTCCCTTGCAATTTGATACCCCAGTTGATTTTTATTGTACAGTATAAGAACAAAATAAAAACTAATCCTATAAAATAATTAATGCTAAAAACTTTACACTCTGACTCAAAATTGACAACGACACCCACTTGAATGAAAACCCATCTGTAACTTACCCAAAACATGTTGGAACCAATCTAGGAAGTGAAAAAATTAATAGAGAAATTAATATGTATCCATGCAGTAACGTACAAAACTAGACATATTCTTTGGATTTGGATCCATTTGGAGACCTCTCTCTAGACTTAGTTTCCATGGATCAACAACAACATTTGACCCCAATCCAAGCATCTTCTTCAATTGATCCCTCTATATAATCCCAAATGTTTTTGTATCACATATCATATCAATATCTTCAAGTTCAATCTCTCTTATGGAATTCAAGTACAGTCTTCAATCACAAATCAACATGGAAGAAGAAATAATCGATGATGATGTTTTCTATGCTGAACTCAGAAGGCAAATTTTGGTATTGACAGCAGATGACGATGATTATGGGAACAATAGAGATGTACCTGAAAACAAGCATTTAAGATCTGCAAGCGGCGCCAAACAGGGCACTGGATTTTGTTGCTCGGCTACCGTGATACCCGGAAGTTATTTCAGTTGGTTGGAGAACGAGGGAACAAATGCTGTGCCGCCCACCTGGCTTGTGAACTTGTGGAGAACTGGCAATGGAACTGGGGTGTTCATACCTCATATTGTCAAATCCAGAAGACGGCATAAGAACAGTACGTGGTTATTTTGTTTGATTATGATTGTGTTTTGTCGTATATTCTGCATTTTTAGTAACTGATTGTTGTCTCGATTGTGATTTTGCAGGAGGGAGGAACAATGACAAAGGAAGAATATACAAGCCAATGCCAAACAAGAATGAATGAATGCAAGACTCTTTTCGGTGTCAAAAGATGTGAAATTGTAATCATACATAAAAATATACATTGCAATAGTAATAACACAAAACAGATCAGTATTTTTTAATCTGTGTTTTGTAGAACATGACATGAGTATTAGTTTTTCTATGCAATGGCCAACAACAATCCGTCAAGGCTAGAATCGTAATTTGACAATCACCAAGAAATGTTCACAAGTGATATACTTGAATTCATATTTGAAATTAATGGTATTGCCCACAAGCACCAAGTATTCAAAGTATTAGCAGTATCCAAATAAGGTTAATATTGCATTAGAACGCTATTTTAACACCTATCAGTCAAACATAGGACATGCCTTAATTACAACATAGACTTAGTATTAATGACTTTCTCGAAACTACCCACTAAATATGCAATGGTTACTTCTCAGATATACCGTAATGTAATTTTTCTTCAAGCCGTGGAGCAGATCTTACCTATACCAAGGGTTATCTTCGCGGTACATTTGCTTTCAATATTTTCTAATAGAGGTGAAATGACTCTGATTGATTCTGTTAAAAGCATTGCTTGAATCCACAAGCACTCAGGGAGAGATGTGTCTCAATCCTTGGGGCGTGCCAACCATAAAGAACTGAGGGCACGTAAACGTGACATGTAATCAGTGATGACAAGAAGCGCACGAGCTGCTTGACTAGTGGTTAAAATCCGATGCATTTGTTGCAAAGTTTGTTGCCTCAGAAGGTCAGCCTAACAAAGAGAACAAGACACATTTTAGAACCTATGAAGCACGGACACACGCCATACACGCTGGAGGAAGTATCCCATTTTTTCTCCATTCAGACATGCTATAGGGACATGTTAGGACATGTTAGGACATGCTGGAGACATGTTGGGAACACACTGTTCCATTTTTTTTTCTTCATTGGAGTAGCTTACCCAAGGTCGATGAATTTGATGAGAACAAATATTTTATATAAAATAAATATATAATATTCAAATATTACATGTTCCCCACGTGTCATGCGTTCAATATCTTTAAAAAAATGCATGTCCACTTATCCGCGTCATGTGTCCATGTTTGTGTTTTCTTAAACAAGAACAACGTCAAAATTGTTTCCATCAAACTGTATGTACTTGACAAGTTAGGCGAGTAATGCTACAATGACCAAATTTTTATACTAAAAGTTGCATACCAAATGATATCTAACCAATGCATGGAAGGTGGGGTCCACTGCACCAATGCAATGACCACACATCATTTGATATAAAAATTTGGTCATTGCAACATTACTCATGGTTGGGCCCGTGAGGTTAAACTTTTACCTGATGGAGGAAGTTCTCAAGTGTGGCAAGCTTGCCCATCGCAATTGCCATTTGTCCCATGTAATCAGCTACATTTCCAGAACCAGTAGGGCCGAGACAGTTGGACGACAATGTCTCAACAAGGGATTGTTGTAAAGCTTCCATCCCTTGAGACAAGGCATCCTCGGCCTGTTGGGAGGATTGCTGCAGATTACATAGGCCCATCAACTGTTGATCCGTCAAAGGCTCAAGATGGTTCCCAAGAATCTGAAACTCAAAAAGATTGAAAAAAATAAAAATAAAATTAATAAATACAAACCACAGTATTTGATTACCACAGGAAGGAGAGGAAAATTGCCCAGAAGCCAAACCGTGAAACAATCAATAACCTTGAGAAGTTCAGATGAACGAAATCCTCCAAGCCACATGAAACACCTCTCGGCAGGAGTTTTCCACATGCCAGAGAGCATGTGAAATACATCAGACTTTGCACCAACACCTTTCAGCCTAAATATTTCATCGTAATGTGACATTATTCCATCAACAAGAAGGCTCAATTCATTATCACCCGTGTGAGAATTTACAGCTGATCTCAGATCATTGATTAGTCGCTGATGTTCATTGAGCCAGTGTGCATAATCCATGTCAAATGCCAAGGCCCCTGTACAAATTCCATATCAAAAAAACCCTATGAATTTAACAATTTTGGGAAATCTAAATACCACTCGAGCATATTTACTATGATTTTCCAAATAAGTCCAAACATGCTAAAAATCACATTCATAAGCATAAAATCTTACAACTTCTCTTGCTCACAAAGAGCATTACAACAAATTAACTGCATATCAAATACATCAAACAAGACCCCTCAACTTTTCTTTAACTAATAAAGCTTAAAAGTTTTACATGTAATATGTACATCAAGCTACAAACCTTTCTCTTATAGAGGGTGTAATCACAAGGGGATTTAGAAACTTCCTCCGATTTAGATATATGTTTTGCATTTTATCAGAATACGCAAGTAAATTTGCTTACCATTACCGACTATTGAGTGACTATGATCTCCAGATAATCCGGTAGCAACAAAAATACCCTACATTAAAATGACAAGATTTAGAAAGAATTTTGCTGAAAACAATTGTATATTGTCAAGAATACAGAAAACCAAACAATGCGATGCCAAAGAAAAAAAGTCAGAATGAACCCAAGAAAAAAGTGCACCATTAAAATGGACGACTGGAGCAAGCAATATAGTGTACAGCATCAAATACATAAATGTATACATATATATATATATATATATCAAAATACATTTTAAAATATTTCTCCATACATAATCTTAAAGTTTTTCATAACTTGGACAACATTTAAAAGTATGTCTTCCCCTTAATATCTAGATGATTCCCTATCAATTATTCTCTATGCAGCTTTGTACACAAGATTTTAAGAAGGGAAAGGATTTTCCTCAAAATAGCAATTATTAGTACTGTACTGCTAATAATTAATTTTTCTTTTAAGTCAAAACATACCATTCTCATGTACTATCACTTATTGATCTCACACGATGTCTGAGTTATGCAATCACCTATAAGTGACTTTAGATTTAACTTACAGACCATAAATTGGGTTCAATCCATGCCAACACTGGTACACATTGTGCAAAATATCTAAAGACGTATTGGGATGACCTGTTGTCGTGCTTGTTGAAGCTCCTGCTCCAATTGCGTAAGCTTCAGCCGACTCTGCTCCAGCTGCTTAACATATGCCTATCCAAAACAAAACCCATGAATCTTAATATGAAAGCAAAATGCATATGATAGATGTGTTATTTACAAATTTTTACATTCAAATCCTCTACTAAAAGAGCATTTGATGATCAAATAAGGAAAACAAAACCCAAGAAAGGAAAACAAAAACAAATAGATTGAGCAGCATTCAGGGAAACGGTTTTTCAAGATCCTTAAGCTCCAAAACAAAATACTATCCCCTCTTATTAGTACTATTAAAGAATGAAATTGCATTACTTTCTTTCTTAGACGACTTTTCCGAGCAGCTTCTCGATTCTGAACTAGTCGACGAAGTGTCTGCAATAAAATTAGGAGGGGAAAAAAAACAAAACCCACAAATTAAATATTTAGACACAAAACTAAATCAAGTAAGCAATTGCCATTATCATAACATGTCGTCAACAACCTTTTGATCTCCAGTTCTTCCCTTGGATTGATCCATTGAATCCACGACCACAGGTGCTCCATGCTGAACTCCATGAGACTGACACAATAAAAAAACCGTCATCAGGACTCCTATCCGACTAAAACTTTGCAGGAAATGAGTGTAATCGAATCAGTGCCTTTAAAGAGTTCACAGCTCATACATTTACTCACATGGAGGGTAATACGATCACATTGCCTTACTAATTTCCTTCGAGAATGAAACTACTGAATGTTCAATAAATTTCAATCTCAATATTTCAGTTGCAATCTGAGTAGGCCGGTCCATGGTTTAAACTATTGATCTGAATAAGCTAATATAGCTGTGAAAATTGCAGATAATGGCACAGCAGGCTTATTTTAGTCCCATCCCTAGTATCTAACTTAATTTTTAAACCAATTTGTTTGGTTTTCAAATTCAAATACCGTTTTGAGTCCCCCCCCCCCTCTTTATTTTTTTGTTTTAGTGAATTTTTCCATATTTAATCAATTTTTTTACATGTACCTAAAGTAAAATATATGAAAAGTTCTATAATAAAAAATAAAAAAGGAGCTGACTTCACAAATATTTTACATTTTTAAATTAGGTGTGTTTCAAAAAAAAAAAAAAAAAATCAAATTTTAAAACAAAACAAAACAAAACATAACAATGTACTATCAAAAATGAACAGTTTAGGCTGCTTTGCATACCACAGTAGGAGCTTAATTCAGTAACTTGCAAAACCGTAATCAGATGAAACAGATCAATACACAGAACCGACTAGTCGATATGCTTAATTGTCAACTAATTCCATGTTGTAAAGTCTTTGGGATGATTATATGAAATATGTACACAAAAAATCCAAACAAATGGTCCCAAATTCAGCAATTATTCACAACAAGACAACAGTGATGACATAAGGAGAGAGAAACAGAGAGAGAGAGAGAGAGGGATAGACCTGGTATTTATCATCAGTAGTATCAACATCTGTGGAAGTGTCAGTGTGTTGGCTGTTGTCAGCCATTCCAGAATCACCCCAATTTTCAAAATCCCCATTTCCCAAACCCACCATTGCAGCAGTGCCCCTGTGCTGCAGCATCAAATTTCCTATGTCCACCCCTGTTCCCATTGAACCAAATTCCAAAGAAGTAATCTTCTACACACACCCACCACCAACACAACACACCACACCACAAATTCAAATTTAAGTAGAGAGAGACAGACAGACAAACAGAAGCAGAGGTTGGTGAATAGGGAAGGGTACGGATGTAATAGTACCGAGGAGGTGAGTTCACCGAACTGGAAGTTATTAGAGATAAGAGCAGCAACATTGCTTGTCTTCATAATGTATATGGAGCCTACCCAAGAAATAGAACAAAAGTATTGTTGAGTAGTTAGAGAGAGAGAGAGAGAGAGGGTATACTATACTTGGGCTTAAATCAACAGCATGGTGTTGGTGTTGGTGTTGGTGTTGGTGTTGGTGATGAAACCCAGCATGTGAATGTTGAAGATCCCCAATATCAGCAAAACGCGTCTGGTTTAGGGGAAATTCATCTCCTCTGTTTATTTCACAAGATTAGCATTAACAGACACCTCAAAAATTCAAAAATCAAAACCCTACCTCATTTAGCTGATACAGAAAGACAGATACAGAAAGCAAAGACAGGAGGAACCTTTGGTAGAAATGGGAGGAGTACATATCAGAATTAGGTGAAGGAGCTGCTGCTGCTGCTGCTGCCTCGATTTTGAAGCTCTGCATCTCTCTCTACTCTCTCTCTGTATCTATATATATATATATATGTAGAAATATACTCCTTTCCAGAAGACGAAGAAGAAGACAGGTTTTTGAGAGAGTGTGTGGAAATCTTCAAGCAATCTTTTTGCATGATGATGAGAAGAAGAAAGAACAAGAAGAAGATACGATATAAAGAGCGTATCAGTAGAAGTAGTAGTAGTTCGGAGTCCTTTTTCGATTTGAACGTCGGAGTCGGAGTCGGAGTCAGAGAAATTTTTTTCATTTTCATTATTATTGCTGCTCTGCTCTTTCAGCTTCTGCACTGAACCAACTCAGGCCCAGTTTGACAATTTCCATGTTTAACTTTAAATGCTACAATGCCTCCGTTTGGGAAGTGAGTTGCCTTTTTGATTTTTTGACTTTTTTAATTATTTTAGTTTGGGTTAAAAAGTTTAGTTTGGGAAAGATTTTTTGACTTTTTTGACTTTTTTTTATGAGAAAAGAGTGTAATAATTATGAGTTGGATGTAATATTTTGTTTTTTGTGACTAAAATAGCCTATTTTATTTTTTGTGGCTAAAATAACCAAAAAAGCCCAGAAAAGCCCTTCTCAAACGGACCCAATACAAGTTTTTACATTTTTTTTTTTTGTTAAAATAGATAGTAATTCTAAATGAAATCTCATTTGAAAATAATTATGTAATAATATTTATTGATAAAAATTTTATTAAAAATAATTAAACAAATATAAAGTGGTTAGTTAGAATATCTCCAACAATGAATTATTTTTTTCATCAAATCTAAAGAAAAAAAAACTTTCTCAATCTGATACAATGTGTGCTAATGGTTGCATTATAACTTGTATCAAAAGACCGGGGCGTTCGGTGGAACAACTGGCGACCAACAATTAAGTGAAATTTTTTTTTTTCTTCCCCTCACAGCACTGCACAGCATAGAGATAGATTACTTTGCAAGAGTGGGGTTAGCATCTACAAGTAAAGAGGAGAATCAATTGTTAACAAATTAAGGTTAAGTTTGGCAACTCAAAATAAGTATATATTTTTTATCTTTTTATCTTTTTTTCATCACATTATTTCTTTATTTTTCTGTACATTTTTTCATAAAAAGACAAAAAATATACTTATTTAGATCATCCCAAACAACCCCTAAAAGAGATCCATGTGTCTTTTCAATCACCTGACCAATATGTGGACATTTTCAGGCCATTGGCATTGGAAGAGTTTAAAGCACACTTGCATTGTTTCTTTTACAAACCAAAAATTCATGTGAAATGTTAAAGGAATAAAAAATAAAGGGTAATGCTAAAAACTCCTAAAAGTGATGTTCTAAAACAACTATTAATAATGTGGCATTCATTAAAAAAAAACAAACAAACACAACAATATTGTGACAGTAGGTGGGACCCACTGCCACATCATTAGTGGCGGCATTAATTAGTACTCCCACTCATTTTTTAAAAAATAAAATAAAGTAAAAAAATATTGAAGAGTTTAGATCAATTTGAGATGAGAGTGTTGATGTGGAAAAGGAATGGGAAAGAAAAGGGAAATTTGGGCATTGAGAGAAGAGTTGGGTATTTTTATCTCAGGGTAAGTAGGGATTGAAGGAGGTTTGCTGACCTATTCAGACGCCATTGTTGCAGGGAGAGAGAGAGAGAGTGTGTATAAGGAGAAGAGAGAGAGAGAGAAGCTTTCAACGGACAAGCCAACTTTTGAAGCAGTTCGCTCTGTTTTTTCTGTCTCAACCGAACAATCAGTGGGACATCCGACCGGACATCCGGCCGGTTGTCTGATGGGACCCACCTCTAATGTAAACGCACAGTCAAAATGGTGAAATCTCACACAGTCCTCAGTTTGGTGAAACTTTTGCTTTGTTCATAATTTTATATCAATTTGGTGAAACCATTGAAGAGAGAAAAAGTAACTTTTTTCATCAAATTTAAATATGATGCTAAATCTAATGCAACGTTGGAGATGGCCTTTGTCCTCATTTGGTCAACACTTTAGGGCTAAAAAAACACAAAAAGAAAAAAATAAATTATATGAGCCAATAAGACAAAATGTCACATCAAAACCATAATCATTACTCTTTTTCTCTCACAAAAATTAAAAAAAAAAACCTAAAAACAAAAACCAAAAGAAGCTAAAAAAGTCTCAACACAAAAAAGTTGGCTACTGTAGCCAATGCCAAACGAAGCTTTAGTGATATAGAGGCAAGTTTGGTAGAGTTTTTTTTAAAATTAAAATCTGATAATTCAAAAATAAAAGGTAAAAGTTATAGCATCTCTTTTTTAATTTTTAAATAGTTATTTTTTTAATTTATTTAAATTATATTTATCAAATAAATTATAAATAAAAACTGCATCAAATAATTTACTACAAACTTTTAAATTATAATAAAATATAATTACTTCTTAAAAATTATACTCCTTTCATTCCAAAATAATGGTATTTTTTGGGGAATTTAATTTTTTTTATAGTATAATTATTGCACTTTAAAAAAATTATTTTTCAAAATTACCCTTTGATGGTACATATTTTGGAAAATATCAATGTCATAATTGTACTTTTTATATTGTTAATGAATTTAAAAGAAGAGTAAAAATAGGAAATTTATATTATTTTTATACTTAATTTTTGAAAAGAAACTAATATTTTGAGACAATAAAAAGTAAAATAAGAGACTAATATTTTGAAACGGAAAGAGTACCAAACAACTCAGAAATAATGTTTCAAAAATGAATAAATAATCACTCATCCGTTTGAGGGCATTTTAGTTTCCCGATACCCAAACAAACAGAGGCCTCGACACTCTCACTCACACGTCAATGGTCACTACACCCTTACGAGCGGTGATACTACATGCACCAATTAGTTGACTAACTATTGTACCAACACTAGTTATGGTATTATTATTGAGTTCACTCATTAATCACATTACAAATATTAAAAACTCTTAAATTATACCACATCATCAATTGATATACTAATTAATATTTAATTGGTATATATAGAATTATTCTCTCTACAAGTGCTTCCCCAAAAATATAAATAAAATAAAATAAATCATTAAAAAATAAATAAAATACAAAACACTTATGTTAAAAAAGATGGGAACAACTTGAGCGATTTGACACGGCTTGTGAGTTGTCCAAAATCATCTAGCCTCTGTTTGGAAAGTGTGTTGACTTTTTGGGTTTTTAATTTTTTTTGGCTATTTGAGCCTGGGCTCAAAAGCTTGGTTTGGAAAGGGCTTTTTGGCTTTTTGACTTTTATGACTTTTTTTGTGAGAGAAGAGTATAATGATTATGGTTTGGATGTGATGTTTTGTCTGTTGTGGCTCAAATAGTCTATTCTGTCTTTTGTGGCTCAAAGAGTCAAAAGAGTCAAAATGAGCTCTTCCCAAACGACACCTAAATTATAATCTCAAGTTGTCCACGACTTGAGTTAGATCTGGATTACCCTAATTAGTTATAAGTTTGATTTTTTTATTAATTAATTTATAAAAATTAGACTCTATTAATAGATTATTTTTTATAAAAGCATTAATAAAAAATCAAAATAAATAATTTATATAAAAAAAATAACATATCAAAGATTTTTGTAAAAATTAATTACAAATCAATGGTAAAATTTCTAATTTTACTTTTTAATATGTATAAATTTTATCATTAATCTATAATATTTTTTTTAAAATATACATTGAAATAAAATTATTCCTAATTTATATATATGAAATATATAAGGATATACGAGATAAGAGATAAGAATTAAAGAATTGATGTGATGTTATTGTAGACTTTAAAATTTTTTAATAAGAAAAGAAAATTGTAAGATTTGTATTATGTTATTTGTGTATATAATATAACAATTTGAATTATTTGATTAAATTAGGAAAAATCACTATTCAGTGGTAATCTAACTACATATTAAAGAAAAAAATTATGAATTTAACTATTAAAATTTATGATATTTACCATCAGTTGGTAATTACTTTTCTTAATATCTACTGACCTCTTTTAAGAATTGTTTTGGATATGATTTATTTTTTATTTATTACAAAAATAAGTAAAAAAATAAAAAAAATAATAATATAATAAATTAATAAATAACTTGTTTGAGGAATATCCAAAAGAGACATGAAATTTAAACAAAATGCAATAAATATTACAAATTTAACATGATTACACAACTTGGCACGGATCTGGACAAGTCCAAGTACTCCCTCCGTCCCAAAATATTAGTCCTTTTTGGGGAATCTAACTTTTTTTGGTAGTACACTTATTGGATTTGAAAAAAGTTGATTTTCCAAAATTACCCTTTTGATAGTACATTTTTTGAGAATATCAATGTCATAATTGTACTTTTTAAATTGTTTATTAATTTAAAAGAAGGGCAAAATAGGAAATTTATATTATTTTGTACTTGATTTATAAAGAGGGACTAATATTTTGGGACAATGAAAAATGGAATAAGGGACTAATATTTTGGGACGGAGAGAGTATATTGATAATGATACTAGAGTAATATGGAAGGAAGGATCTTCTAGAGTTTTTTTTTTCTAAAGTTTTCTAAAGTAGTGCATTGTGTGGTTGAGATTTAATGACAAGTCACATCAATTTTTCAGCATTAAATCTCAACTACACAATACACCACTTTAGAAAACTTTAAGAAAAAAACACTCTAAAGAATCCTTGGTGGTAATATGGTACACTGGATTACGTGCTGCTTTCCCATCTGTGGTTTGCGTGCTTGGGGTATCTTATATTATTCTCAGTGTATTTTTTTTTTTTCTTTTATCTCAGTTATGATCCCCAGCTGGGCTTGTCCATCTAGATAAGTAAACAGATGTCAGGTGGACCCCATACTAGTACAAACTACTTAAAAATATACTAGAAGGGAAATGGCTCCTTGCCATGTTATTTATTTTAGGGGCAATTACTGGAACACTTGAAACAGTGAAGAAAAATAAAAAAAAATAAAGATGATTCTACTTATACTATTTTTTTATTTCACTACACCTTTTATTTCATTACACTATTAAAAACAAAAAACTATTAGATTCTTATTATACTCAATATATTACCAAAACAAATCCTAAGGTTAAAAAAATTTCAAAACCTATCTCTTGACACCCATACTTTTGAGGGGACAAGAAGGAAAAGAGAACAATGCAGGGAAAAAGACTAGACAACAACAGCGTAGATGGATTCGAACGATGTGGAGGTGTTCGAACAGTGTGGATGATTGAACTCATTCTTCTCATTCGCTAAAGGTAAGTGAAAAAACTCTTCTTTCTCTCTCTATATTGGTAGACATAGGTACGTATATCTATATATATATATATATGTCTATATATATAAGCTGTTGGGAATGTGCTAGTTTGTTGGTTTTGATCTTGGAATTT